GCATAACTCATGATACGTTATTTGCATGTGAGCTTTCCCGCTGACACTTTTTTTGTGCATGATAGAGTCTTTTATTTGTCTATGTACTTTTTAGAGTCTAGGAGAGTCCTGTAGCAGAAATAAGATACAGGCACAAATTTTGAGATGTTCAACACGAAAATCACATGGAGGGGGACCAAGAGTAGATGCTCGTGACCCGTATCTTAGATCTGCATTTTATATTGATGTATATAATTAGGATCGGACATGTATATGCGGAGTCTGCCACCTTTTTCTTTTCTGAGATATTTTGCTGACTCAGCAGCACCGGCTTGTTTATTATTTTGATTTGGCTTGTTTGTTTTTTGTATCCTGTTGCATGTCTGCATTTGCATGTTTTTTCCTTATTTCTTTCTGTGGTTTATCTGGGATTTCACGATGAAACATAGGCTCATTAAGACTTAAAATCCTAATTGTTCTGCTTAAAAACCCTAAATAAAATATTTAAGATAATTAAAATTTATGATTATAATATTCCGAATCCAAAAATTGTAACTTTCACTTTCCTACATATATTAATAGAGCATCCACAATACTTAAGGACCGCTCTATATAAATGCATCATATTTGCATGTCCCAAGGAGGAGTCCCTGTGCTTCTTCAACTTGACTAGCCCAACATACCTTTATATAGGTGGTTGTCTAGTGCGCATAGGGTGTTAGAAGGCTCTTCGACCCATACGGGGTATAAGTCCTATTGTTGGGAGCGTTTTCAGCTTTGTAGCTGAACCTCCATTTCTCTTTCTTTCTTAAGGCATCCTTGCCACTTTGATAGGTATAAGCCTCACCTGTTGGAGCTCCAGCTTTTAGCCATAGGATATAGTTTTAGTTCCTTCCTTTGGCCTGAGGGGCTACCGAGGTTCCTGTGGATGACGCAATTCACAGATTACTGACCGGCGATCTCATGATGTGTTGGGTCGACTTGTTGGGTCGACTACCTTCACGACCTAGTAGGCTTAGGGTATTTATAGCTTGGGATGGCAAATCAATAGTATCCTCACCCGGGTATTTTGACACGCCTTAAAATATGTTAACTCTACCTTCCCCTTTTTTTTGTTGAGCCCCTTTGAGCCTCGTCACTCCTTTGACTTTGTTGTTATCATTTTGACGGCCCAATGTCGATGAGCTGCCTCCCATTTGGGGTACGGCGATTTGTCCTCTGCCCTTATGACCCGAACATGCTTTGACGTATTGGGATGTCTCCGTAAAGACGATTTAAGTTATTTCACGGGCCCCGTGTGCCGATGAGTCGCTACCCATTCAGAATTTGAGAGACTCACTCTTTGTCCAATGACTTAGTGTGAGATTTGAAGCATCAGAACTGGTCCCACATAGAATAACTTTCTTTTGAGTACCTATTGCCCCATGTTAACGATAATCCACGCGAAACACCTTTTTTCAAGAGTATTCTTGGGTACCCTCTAAGATGTAATTAACCAAGTGGTATACGCTTGGTCCCTTGGGAGTGCTCTTGACCCCAGAACAGGCACCTACACCTGACTCTTTGGTTTTGGGTAGTTTACGTAGGCATTCTTTCACGGATATTGGTTTAAGGTGCTTCCGTCTGATCTTGTTTGAGCGAACACTCTTAACCTATCATTGCAAGGTTTACTGCACGATGACTCTCCACGTTTTGTGTTTTCTCTTGTTTGTCGCTTTGTCTTATGTCCCTTCTTATTCGGTTTCTCTCATCTTTTTGACCTGAACGCAAATCACCGATCTGATTTGGGAGGGAGATTTATTCGAATAGAGAACAAATCACCGATCTGATTTGGGAGGGAGATTTATTTGAATAGAGAAAGTATATGACGATCGACAAGCTGACGACTCCTTCTAAAATAAAAGAGAGAAAAACAAATGAAAACATGAATAAGTGGAAGGCCACCTACACTTTCACTAACTTTAAGAATATAATTATAGTCACCCAATATAAGCCAATGATCATTAATATTAGCAGCAAGAAAAATAATAGAATTCCAAATATCATTTAGAACAATGAAACTATTATTAACATAAATGAAAGTTTTAATAACTTAACAGTATAAGAGAAAATAAAATACCTTTGAATATTGAGATTTGACTTCTAAATCAGTAAAAGAAAGAATCTCAAAGTTTCATTTAACTCACATAGACTTATTTTCAACAATATCAAAGTTTTTGCACTTCTTTCATTATTAAGAAGTCTAAACCTCTTAAAAAAGAAATTATCATAAATAAAAGAAAGAGAACTTAATTTCAATATACTCATTCAGATGAACATGATTCTCATAAATAATCTTTTTATAATAAAAAACACATGTTTCATTATTAAATCCATGAACATTCAAGCAATAATATTAGGATAAAACATAAACAATAAAAGAGAAAGTAAAGTAACATATAAAAATAAAATAATGCATAACATTATCTATTATAGTTTTTTTCTTTTTTGCTCTAGAGGTAGAGGAAAAAGAGACGAAAACTGCAATAAGGGCAATATTGAGCATATTAGGAATAAGATACATGTCATAACATTAGAAATTCTTCCAATAATACCATTTTGAGCCATGATATTACCTTCCCCAGTCTCAGTATTAACAAAATCATAAATATGAGGTAAATCAGTACATTCATTTAGATTTGACAACATAGAACATTCACTTTGCAAATTTCTGCAATTTAGATTATCTTGATTTAACACAATAGCTCCAGAAGAACTGACATCAAGATCAATAGTAATCTTAGGATTAACATTAGATTTAATAAGCTGAACTTCAACATTCTCTACAGTAATGTAAGTACTACAAGATGAAACATCGATATGTAAATTGAAATCATGAATAGAGGAAGTAATGCTATTACTAACAATAGAAACCTTAAAAAGAATAAGAGGTCTACTCTTACTTCTTCGAAATTTTTAACTAGTATAATACATATTTTTATTTGTCCCTCTGAAAACAGGAACAACAGTAATAGAATGAACATTCATAATCTTAGGACAATATTGAGAATTGAGTGTAAAAGTAAAACATGTCTTACAAGGGGTGAACTTCCTGTCATAAACCACATGTTAAATAAACTCATGCTCTTTAATATCTAGAGGAATGAAATCATGAAGAGGAGATTTGATATTTATTTGTATGTAAATTCTAGCAAAAGATAGTAAAAAACATTCGGATGTTAGAGAATTAACAACAAACAGAAATATGATTTAACTTGCAATCTTAGAAATACCATACTCATTTCATTAATATATGGGCTAATTAAGAAACTTAACCCAAATTAGTATTTTTTTTGAAATCTTTGTTAATAGGATTAAACTCATGCTACCATTTTTTAAAAATGAATAGTTTAGCGTTAATAAAATATGGACCACCCCCCAAAAAAATCATATCAAAATTTTCCGCACAATTAAAATTAAACATAAATAAAACTTAAGATTGAGATAGAAAATTTATAACACCTTTCAACTTCTATATTCTAGTAATAAATTATTGCAAGTTATCGTAGAAAGGATGTTTGCCAATAACATACCCAACAAGGGTGGGTCCATTGCTTTTTGAGCCAGCAATGACTTCTTTATTTATAAATGAAAACTTATCACACGAGCTTGAAACATATGACACATTAAAATTAGAAGAATTAGTAAGATTAGAAGAGATAAACCTCTTACAATAAAAAATATGACTAGGGCTAAAAAAAGACTAAGAAAAAGATGAAATAAGAGGAGAAAAATAATCCATGAGAAAAAAAAAAACAAGATAAAAGCCCGAACAAGAAAGAAAATCTAATAGCGAAAAAGAAGGAAAAAAAAGAAATATAAGAATTTTCCTAAGATAAAGGAAAAATGAAAAGGAGCCCATAAAACTCCATCGAGGTGTTTGGCTACATTCAAGCTTTAGTTAAATAGAAGTTGTAAATCAGATAAATTCAGATTTATCAAATCGAATGCCCGCCCTTAAATCCAAAAAAAGTTTAATGGGATTAAGTTTAAATTTAGTAAAATCTTGAAAGAATATTTGACATCTTATTTCAAGATTTATAATGTAATTGATTTAAAAATAAATAAATATGTTTTGACTATATTTTTTATATGATATTAGGTGATAAAAATAAAAATAAAATTGACTATATTTTTTATATGATATTAGGTGATAAAAAAAATAAAAAAAAAATAAAAGTTTACACATTAAATATAAATGTAAAAAGTATAAAATTGGGTGTTATGTATGTAAATACTCTACCTCTTATTTCTGAATCAGCCACATGACACTATATAACTTTTTGCCCACTATAAAATCACCTTCTCCCTCAAACTTCGTTTTTACCCTCTTTCGCTCAGTCTCCAATACATTATTTTCATCTTTGGAGACTCTCCATGCAGATTCCTCAATCGGGTTGCTCTCATAAATGTCATCGAAAAGCCTCTCCCATGACCTCCCTTCTCTTCTCTTTAGAAGAACAGAAACAATTTGTTTGAAGTCGACAATGAACAGTGGGGCGTACCGTGTGAGCAAGTAAGTGATAATCGAGCTACACAAGGTGTGTTCTTTAAAAGTTAAATTCCATAAATCTTCCTACAAATCAAATTCAATAAATTTGAATTGAAGTCATGATGGAGAGCAAAATGAGATTTAATTTAAGGACATATTTCACTAATTTTTTTTTTATGTTTGGCTCGATTTATGTTAAATCCTATCATAAATCCTATTATAAATATGTTATCAAACACCTCCTAAAAGGGATTAAAAAATGATCCGTAAACAAGACGTCCACCTCCCAAAACCCTCAAAAGACTTGATGAGAAGAATCGCACCGCCTTTCTCCTTCAACCGTCAATGGTCCATGTGCGGAATATCCGTTACGTGGGGCCCCCCTTCTCTGCGCCGCTAACTGCATTGACCCACGTCATCAAATCACATGATCAATGCCGACCATGAATCCAGGTCAGCACACATCGCGATCCCACATATTTACTCGAATCTTCCTTGGTCTTCCCCTCCCTTCTATCGCTCCTCTTCCTCTCACGTGTCTTTATTGGTCGAAACAATATCGCTCCAGGGCCGATTGGAGGAGAGGGATTTGGACATAGAAAGAGGCGAAAGGTGATAGCATCGCAGAAGAGAACTCCTCATGTATTCCTCTCTAAAACCCTAACCCTAATCCTTTGCGGCAAAGATGATCAATCTTGGCATGGACAACCGCCCGTCGACCTCCGTGACGGCGGAAAAGGCCATTTCCTTCATATCCAAGGGTTGGAGGGAGGTGCGCGATTCCGCGGGCGCCGACCTCCAGTTGATGCGTGCTAGGGCTAATTCCTTCAAGGATCTGGCGGACCGCGAGGTCGAGAACTTTCTTCATTCAGCGTCTGTCTTCTCCATCGCATCACAAGCTCCGATGAACAGTGCCATCGCCGAGCTCGAGTTCGTAAAGCGGATCCAGCCCAAATTGTCGGAGTTCCGGCGAGCGTACTCATCGCCGGATTTTAGCAGGAAGATGCTGGAGAAGTGGAGTCCTAGGTCGAGTATCAGGATTGATCTGTCCGGGATTCGGAACGCCATCGTCTCGGAAGTTGATGACAATGGAGGATTATTGGATTTTGAAAGGGGTAGAACTCAGCGCCTCGTTAGAAGGATTCGGTGGAAGGAAAGGGAAAGGGAGAAGGAGGAGTGGGAACCAATTCGACAATTGAAGGGGAGGTTTAAAGAATTAGAGAAAAAGGGGCAATCGAACGATGTATTTGGGAATTTCAAGGGTAGCGAGTTGGTCGAGAAACTGAAATTGAGCTTGGTACGTGTTTGGCCATCAACTCGACAGATTATTATTAATATTTTCATCTTTTTTTTTGAATTTTTCAGGGAGACAGTAGTTTCACTTTTTCATGTTTACTAACTTGAACTAAGCGGCATTTAGCCAAATGCATGCGCTAGTCAGGACCCCTATCATGGCTGTTCATGGTGTGCATCAGTGTTAATTTGTATAGAACAAACGAAAATGGAATTTTGTGCTATAATTGGTGGCATAAGATATCTGTTTGTATTGCAGTGCAATATTTAGGTTTATATCCCAAAAGTGGATCCTCAGGGGGGTCACTCACTGTCCAAAATTGAGGAAGATTCATCAGGTTAGACTCATGATGAACCAACCAGGCCAATTCAAACTTGCAAACTCGCCCAATAGTTTTAAGTCACATGCCCACCAGTATTATGGTGAACTTGCTTGTTAACTAAGAAATGGAAATACTTCCATTAAACTTAGGACGAACTTGTTTAGTGACCCCAACTTTCCGGATTGACCATGTTGTTTGATCCTACAGTGGCTGCTCGACAGTTACCTCTAGGGGAATCATGACCTCCCCATGCTTGGGAACTAATCATTTGTCCGGATCTTAGTCCTTACTTATTTCACATGCCTCTTGTGCTTTATATATTTCCTTTTACATGTATAGCTAATTTTGTAACACTCGCGACCTTAGATTCCTTCCTATAAACAAGAGATTTTAGGGAGAGCGATGGGTTCTGAAGCTTGTCCCACATTCTTCTTGCATGATGGCTCTTTCGAGTCTTATAATGGATTTTTGTCTACTCTTTCTTGATTTCTCTGCCTCCAACCTTTTTTTCTTCATTTTTTTGTGTTTGTGAAGTTCTGGGATAGGATCTAACATTATTTAGTATCTAGTCGCAAGAAAGTATATTTAGAGATTTTTCTAGGAATAGCTCATTAAGCAAAGCTCTAAGGCTCCGTTTGGGGCAGCTTATAAGTGCGGGTGGCGTTTTCAAAATGCCGCCATACCGTTTTCGGGTACCGTTTGGTTCGCGTGTTTCGCCAGCTTATCCGAAACTACGTTTGGGTTTTTACACTAATCGCAGGCCGCGGGCCTACCCCTGTGGCCGGCCCGCGGCGTTTCAGGATAAGCAGCTTATCCTGAAACACACAAGTTGCCCCAAACGGACCCTTATTTTGAAAGAGTGCACTTATATTGGAAGACGAGGCAAGGCTTATTAGCAATCATCATCTACTAACATGAGAAAAATTAACGATCTTAAATTTATTTATTTGTTGGATATGACTGATCTAGCATCTTATTTTTGGTTGACTTTCTATGTTGGGAGATGAAATAGTGAAATTTACATCAAATTTTGACTAAAGCTTGGAGTTATAATTGCAAGCAAATCCATGAAAGTATATTCTAGGCTTAGAGAGTAAAATAGGGAAAAAGGGTGTATCATTTGTTGTTGGTGTTTGTGTATGGATGTGTTGGCAAAAATTTTGTAGAACAAATCGGCTCACGACATTGGAAGTCATACCTGTTGGAAGTTATAAAAAATATACCAAATTAGCTTACATATATTGCAACATTATGTTATTTTTAATATTTGATTAGAAAAAGTTGCTTTGAAAAATGAGCAATTGAGACATATAATGGAGAAGTGAGGTGTAGAAGTCTTATGGAATTCTAGGAAATATCTTGGAAAGGAGATAAATAATTTATGGAGGAATTAAGATTTGTTGGAGGTTTCTCTTGCTTACCTAGGAGGAGAAAGAGAAAAGTCTAGCTACCCATTGCATGAAATCTCAAGACTAATTTTTCTTTCCATACTATGGACAACATGTCAAGTATATTGATAGAGACTCTTAAAAAAAATGATAGATAGATAGAGAGAGAACTTTGATGTAAAGCCATATAGAGAGGGTCAAGACCAACTTGCTATTTCATTTAAATTTTCTTCAACTTATATTTTGCATATTCATATTATAAAAAATATGACCTAATCCATATGATTCCCCATTCCATCTAATGCATAAATTTAAAAATTTATTCTATATTTCTTCAATTTATTCAAATTATGATTAGCAATCTATTATAAATAATTAATTATATCTAGATTATCTCTTAAAAAGACATCAGTCTTTGACATGAGAAAGATAAATTAGTGCAATTAATATTCGGTAATTTTCTTATTTTTCTTCACTTAATTTCTCGTTTTCGATAGACTTGTATTTGAAGATCTATGTAAATTCTTGTTCCTTTCTAATTTTATATTTTGTCCTTTCAAGGTTCAATTTGCAAAATTTACTTTGAGCCTCTTATGTTACAATTCTCTATTAAATGACATTTTCTATTGCAATTGCAATTTCTCACATGATAGTAATAATTAAAAAATAAGATTCACGCTTTAGTAATTTTGTTGATCTTAATTACATAATAATTAAATTCCTTTTTATCACAACTAAATGACTTTTTCATTTGATGATCTACCTAACAACATTTTTTTTTGGTAGAACCCATCTTGATGATTCCTAATCTTGTAATGATGCATAAATATTTTGATTGACCACAAATTTCTCAATCCTCAATGAAATAGTTGTTGTTTTACTATTTAAAACAGTGTTTGCACTTGCATAAAAGGATTAATATTAAAAGAATTACTCCTTCTCCTTTTCTTTCAAGCATCTTTAAGAAAGTCAACTGCCCTTTTTGATTCCATCAAACCAATTCTAATAGCATGTTTGGCCCTTTGGATGCATGGTCAACCCCCTATGGTACTCACCTTGTCCATTTTGCTATTCACTTTGTGGTCTTCATGGACCTTTGCATGATGTGTAAACCCTTTTATGAAGATTTCATTAGGTTCATCATAAGACGTGCTTGTCGATTATCTTTTCACCATCCATTTTTTCTGATATCTCTTACTCCTATGCATCGTTATTCTTAACCATTAGTAGTTGTATTAAATATGCATCTTATGGTGTAATGAAAGCTCCTGTGGTGGCTATGAGTTTTGGTAATCATTGGATGTCTGTGACATAGCCTGTTCAAATATTTTAAAACTATTAATCTTAAAATTTATTGATTCATGGTTCATATCAAATTGCATGGGGATTTTTCTCCATAGATCTCTACTTTCCCTTAATATCACACAATTATATTGAAATTCATATGGGTTGAAACTATTTTTCTAAAATGAAACTATGAAAAAAAGTTGGCGTGGAGGGTCTTGTAGAACTGATAGAAAAATATCTAGAGCAAGGGATATATATTCTTTTGGTGGAATTGATATTTATTGGATGTTTGTCTTGCCTATCAGAGTGGAAGAAGAGTGGTCATAAGTTTTAGCACCTTATTGTAGATTTTTACAAGGGAATAGATATTCTTATGGTGGAATTGAGATTTATTGGAGGAAGAAGAGCAGCCGTGAGTATTTTTAGCACCTTATTCGAGATCTTTAATGGAACCTCACCAAATATTTTAGTAGTTATTGTCATCCCACATTTTTTTTGATTTCTGACTCCTATTCGCTTGTTTTTTTTTTCTCTACCTAGAACTCTCTATGTTTTCCTTAATATCAAACAATGAATAATGACATTTTTGTGGGTTAAAATTATTGCTGTGACTCCAAATATGATATTAAATTGGGAATTGGCTGGAATATCTTGGATAAGGGAATAGGTATTTTTATTTATGAATTGACATCTACTTGATCTTTCTCTTGCCTACTCTAGTTGATGAAGAGTAAGGAATGGTTAGTTGTTGCTCAAAAACTTATTCTTGATGTTTTTGTGATCTTGGTCTGCAAGCCAAAGAGAAAATAGATGGCCTTGGTTGAAACTTTAAGAGTGAGGGGAAAGAGGATTGAGGTGGATTTTCAATTCAAAATTTTTACATTTTCCATGCTTAGTGCTATTTATTAAAAAATATGAACTAACCATTAACTACTCACAATTAAACTAAATGCAAAACTTTTGGAATGCTATTTAAATTTTTTGTATCTATTCAAATTATTATTAGTCATTTATTAAAGAAATAGCTCTCAAATTTAGATTTTGTCATAAAATTGGTTAGCTTTTAGGAAAATTTGGAGTAATAGGAGCTATATTGGGTAGTTTCCTTAATTCATTCAATTTGAATTTTTTTCTGTTTTTCTATCACCCGGTCTTTTTTTAGGGCTCATTTGAGATGGTTGTAGTTATTTGCAAATTTAGTTGTGAAATTATTATGGCAAAAATAGAGTTTTTTGAAAGCAACTATGGGTTATAAATTTAGTTCTTAAGAAAAAAGCCAAATGATACATCTAATTGTGAAAAACTAAATTTTTTGCCACATAAATCCTTGAAAATATCATGAAAGTTAATAGCCAAATAAAGAATATTAGTGATTTATAAACTAAAGCTGTCCCAAACACACCCATAGAAATTTAAATTGGAGATTTTGCAATTTTAACCTCTCAAGTTTTATTTGCAAATTTAAACTTTTAAATTAAATTGGCAAAATGTTAAGATTAGATTTGCAACTTTTGTTGAGAGCTACATGGATTAGTATGCAAAGGGATAAGGGAGTTTTTTAAAGGAAATATATATAGTCAAAATAATGCGTGCAATAACGATATTCTTTTACGTGTTAGTTTGTTTTGATGTATTAGGGGTGCATAGTAAATGAAGAATGTGAGATTTTTTTTATGATGCTTGGTTTGAGGTTGAAAAAGGCAAAATTTTTTGAGAGGCTTTTTTGTACAAAGCCCAATTTTGTTGAATTTCGAATTCAACAAAATCATTCAAATTAGAATGCAACACTTAAGTGTGTATGTCCTCACATTTCTCACCTATTAACTCCGTCCCCTCATTGCCGTGCTTGATGTCACTTACTTAGTCCTTAGATAACCTTGCTGGCACCTTTTTGGCATTCCTTCATCCATAACTTCACCCTGCCATTGTTCTTGTCCACTCTTGGGATCTACAACCTGCTTTTTCGCCAATGCCCTCACCTACGCTTGTGATCCCACCAGCAAACTGCACTTGTGACCCTCCCCTTGCTTTTGCCTTTTATGCCATCCCCATCGTCAGCTTGTCCACCCCTTTGATTTCAATTTTTTCAACTAAACAAACATAAAATCTAAATTTCAGGGATTTATTTTGACAGCCAGTCTTAAGAAATGAAAGTACATTGTATTTAATTTACATGGGATTTGAAATATGCTTTTATCCTAATTAATTTCAACTTAACAAACCCCAAGTTTATAATGCTATTCTAAACTAATAGAAATTATGAAACTATTTTTTTATTTATTAGTTTTTAAGTGTGGTACTAGATTAATTATGGCTAAGTAGGCATGAGGTTAGTTACTAATAGGAACACAAGGCTACTTGCGTGCGCACTCGTGACTGTATATGTATTTATGTATGTGAACTTTATCCCATATAAATATACTTTGCATTCATCGTTTGAGAGTAGTCTTCAAGCAAGATGATTGTGCTATTATTTTTCCATCGATGAAAATTATTTATGAAGTTTCGTTAATTTTTATAATGATTTAATTATCCAATGTGCATCATTGTAATTGCTGGCAATGGGATGATGTCTTACAACTACTTTTATGCAAGCAGTTCCCAAATCAAAGCTGTCAAATGCATTCCAAGCATGTCAAATGCATTCTAAGCATCGTCAACGACAAATTACTTTGGGATTATTTGAAAAACTACTTGTTGAAAATCTCAAATATTATCCCATCAACAAAAACCACCCATTGGAGATTTTTCCGCATCTAAATAATGATCAATTGATTTCCTTTTGAATTCATAAAATTGTGAATGCTACCAGTTTCATTTATAATACTTGTGTATGTGTCAAATATTGTATGCATAGAAATAAATTGGCTTCTGCTCTTTTGCCTTCATTCTTATTTCACATATTATTTATGAAATTATTCTTATCGTCTTAAAGTGAATATATTTTCCTTAATTTCTTATGACATTGTTGTTGCAGAAATCGTTTTGCAAGGAGCCTGAAGAGTCAAAGGTATTTCACTTTTTCCCTTCAGATAAAAGAGGATATTTTGATTCGTTTTAATAAACTATAACTTCTATATGATTTTCTTTGCTGGTTAATTTTATTGCAGGAAGTTCCCCCCTTGGATCTACCAGAACTCTTGGCATACCTAGTTAAGCAATCTGTGCCTTTGTTTGATCAGTTTGGCATAAGGAGAGGTAGTTAAACTTCGAATTTCCTAGGTTAATCTTATTTTTATTTCTTCTGTCAGCAGTGGATGATATTCTGATGTAAAGTTGGCTATTAACTAGTATGCCCAATATTTAACTTCATTTTTATTTTGTTATTATTGCAAGAGATTTAGCATGTCAGTACTTTTGATAACTTATTTTGGCTGAAGCTATTTTATGTTGCATTTTTTTCAATTTAGAGGTCAAGATATCTACACCTTTCATTATTTCCCGTCCTTCACTAGAGTTGACTATAATAATATTTTGGTTTTCTTAGATTGTAAGTTTTATTGCTCTTGTACTTTGGCTAGTTAAGAATCTGTGCTCTTGTTTGATCAGCTTGGCACAAGGAGAGGTAGGTAAGCATTGACGTACCCCATCTAATCTCTTTTCCGTCTTTTGGCAAATATTCAATATTATCCTAAATTATGGTCGTGATTATTTTTAATATGTAATTCTTCATTGATTTTTAAATATTTTCTAGAGATTTGCTGCATCCAAAAGTTTTGACAATGTATTTTTTATTGAGATATTTCATTTATGGATTTACTTGGAATTCGATGTTAGGCAATCTACACTATTAATTATTTTGCATCATTAGCTTGAATTGACTGAAGCTTTTCTTGTGATTGGGATGCTAGATTGGCTGGCTTGTGTTCTATGGCATTTTTGAGAGTCGTATTATATTTTTAGCAAAATCTCCTTTGGGACATTTTATTTTGCATATCGAAGAGGTGCTAATTAGTAGGCATTTTTTATCTTTGAAATTCAGGAGTAGAGCGGCATAATTAAACAGATTACGAACCAATGAAAGCTTTTATCGTTGCAACATGGGTTAAGTTAAATAAATGAATTGAGTGATGTCAGGATTTGTAAAATATCACTTTTGATGTAATTTTAGGAAAATGTTTAAAGCATTGGCTCTGACATTCCAATAGTCTTTTTTCCTCTCTGCTGTAAAACTCCATCATGCTTTACATAAACAAAAATATGAGTCATCTTATTTGTGGGAATAATGGCACGTGTCGTTTATGAGTGTCCATTTTATTTTATATATAGAGTGGGGCAGAGGTTCTGTTTCATTCCAATAGTCACATTGTAATATTATTAGGGTTTTTTTTGTCATTGTGATTGATGAATAATTTTTATTTCTATTGTTTTAACATATTTTTAATTTAACCTCTCAAAACTATTATGATTTTCTTAGTTTCTCTCTTTACTCGTTTACTTCTCTCATATGGCTTACATTATCTTGTATGTTTACTCATTTGGTTTTATATGGAGGTTGTCATTTTAAGAGATGCCTACCTGAAGAAATGATTTTGAAGAAATGATTGCTTTTTTCATTCCTGAGTTGAACCTCTATAGAGCCATACAAACATTTTACAAATAACCCCTAAACTTCTATATTTTTTATTTACAAGTAGACCCCTCAAAATAAGACACAAATCTCAATACTCTCCCTCAAGATGGGCAGAAGATATCCACTAAGCCCACCTTGTTACATAATCTAGACAAATCTAATTAACTAAGTTCTTTAGTGAGGCAGTCAGCCACCTGCTCTCCAGTGGTTACATGACTTAGCTCCAGTAGCCCATTTTTCAGCTTTTCCTTGATGAAGAATCTATCAATCTCCACATATTTGGTTCTATCGTGTTGTACCAGGTTGTTGATAATGCTGATTGCTGACTTTTTTGTCACACCACAACTTCCTTTGAGTCCCTTGATCCACCTTGAGTTCGACCAACAAGGCTCCCTTAGCCACATAATTTCGGCAACTCGTAAGACTATTGCCTTGTACTTTGCCTCTGCTGTTGACCTCACTACTACAAATTGTTTCTTGCTCTTCTAAGAGACCAAGTTGCCCCCTACAAACATGTAGTATCCTGAGGTGGATCTTATGTAATCTGCACAACTCACCCATTCAACATAAGAATAGCCCTCAATGTCTACATACCGACTTCCCGAAGATCAACCCCTTCTCTAGTGCACTCTTCAGATACCTCTGAATCTGATACACTGCGTCTATATGACCCTTGAATCATGCATATAGAGGCTCACCACGCTCACAACAAAGGAGACATCGGGACGTGTGTGACTCGGTATATCTCTCACGATCAACCGACTCTCCCGCCTCTACACTCAGCTTGACCTTCTAATCAATTGGAGAGACTGCAGTCTTGCATCTCAGCATGCCAGTTTCTATGAAGAGATCTAGTATATACTTTCTCGAGATAAGACCATCCTCTGGGACACGAGCCACCTCAATCCCAAGGAAGTATCTGAGTTGTTTAAGGCCGTTCACCTCACTTATCGCAATACTACTAAATATTATTACCCACTTAATTAACTATCTTGTAATCTAATAGAAGAACTACACAATATAATATCACATCAAATATACTAAATCACTACAATAAAAAATCGAAGAGACAAGTTCAATAAGTGCAATGGGTTGCTCCATAAGTATAATATATTAATACAACCACCTATAATAAAAAACATTACACTACCAATAAAAAAAAAGGTAATATATCACAAACTGAACAAATAAGCACAGCTCTCAATAAAAATACAGAATTTCTAAATAAATCAAACATTTCACATAATTATGAGACTAAAAGTATGCATATTTGACAGCTATTTCAATATATTGTCATTACCAGGATAATTCATGGGTAGTCATCACCACAATAAAGGGTTCTAACAAAATCAATAAAAGCTGCCGAAGGTGTTCCTTTGGAGTTAATTAAATCACAATTGCATAAAATAGAGCCGTTGGCCTTGAAAGCAGTTCATTTTTCTAAAGAAAAGACCTAACTTATGAATCTATGGCTTTTCATATGTTGAACCTACAAAAATGCATATTACTACTAAATATTATTACCCACTTAATTAACTATCTTGTAATCTAATAGAAGAACTACACAATATAATATCACATCAAATATACTAAATGACTACAATACAAAATCGAAGAGACAAGTTCAATAAGTGCAATGGGTTGCTCCATAAGTATAATATATTAATACAACAACCACCTATAATAAAAAACATTACACTACCAATAAAAAAAAGTTAATATATCACAAACTGAACAAATAAGCACAGCTCTCAATACAACACAGAATTTCTAAATAAATCAAACATTTCACATAATTATGAGACTAAAAGTATGCATATTTGACAGCTATTTCAATATATTGTCATTACCCGGATAATTCATGGTTAGTCATCACCACAATAAAGGGTTCTAACAAAATCAATAAAAGCTGCCGAAGGTGTTCCTTTGGAGTTAATTAAATCACAATTGCATAAAATAGAGCCGTTGGCCTTGAAAGCAGTTCATTTTTCTAAAAAAAAGACTTAACTTATGAATCTATGGCTTTTCATACGTTCACCTTTAGTTGAGCAAGCTTTGCCTCATCATCACCACCGGTAATAATCATGTCATCAACATATAAAGCAAGTATAGTGATATGATCGCCAACTTTCTCTGAGATAAAACCATCCTCTCTGGTCCACGAGCTACCTCAATTCCAAGGAAGCATCTGAGCTGTCCATGTCCTTCACCTCAAATTCTTTGCCCAATCTAACCTTTAGTTGAGTAATCTCTGCCTCATCATTACTAGCGATAATCTTGTCATCAACATACACAGCAAACATAGTGACGTGAACATTATTTTGACGAAAGAATACCGTATGGTCGATATTGATCTGTTGATATCTCATGTCCACCATAGCTTTTCTTAACTTGTCAAATTAGGCTTGAGGAGACCGCTTCAAGCCATAAAATGACTTCTTGAGCCTGCACACCTTGCCCACTGTCTAACCTGTGCTGAATTCTGGCGGTATGCCCATATACCTCCTCCAGTAACTTATCATGAAGAAAAAGATTTTCACATCAAGTTGGTCACCTCCACCCACCATTCATCTTTGCTACGGGTGCAAAAGTTTCGTCATAGTTAATGTTATGTCTCACTGTACCTTTTCGCCACCAATTGTGCCTTGTAATACTCCACTTTCTCTTCTGGATTTTGTTTTACTGTGAAAATCCACTTGCACCCAACAACTCTTTTTCCCACTGGTAATGATACTATCTCTCATGTCTTGTTCTTATCGAGAGCACCAAGTTCCTCCAGCATGGCAACCTGCTACTTTTGATTTTCCTTAGCTACTTACCAACACTTGTGTATAGAGACAATGTATAAAGATACAATGAATGCTGCGTGTACAATTGATAGGTTAGAGTATGAGACAAACTGAACAATGTAATGTGAGCAACCAAAACAATCAGGAGAATAATAATCAGAAGAACAATTTGCATTGTTGCGAGTGGTTCTCCTTAAAGCCATGGGAGTGGGATAAGAGGTGAGAGGAATCATATCACTTGGGTAATTAGATTTTGAAGTGGAAGGTGTTGGTATATCAGGAGTTGGGGTTAACTGGGACAAGGGACTTGATCACATGGTTGGCACAACAAACACTGTTCCCTCATTCTGTGTTTTCCTTATATACACTCTCAGCTCCCTTTGAGCTTGAATCACTCCACTGTTAGGTTCAATTTTCTCATTTTTTGGTTCTTTCTCAGTTGACCCTTCCCACACAGCGGGACAAGGCATCATTTCCACATCCACCGATCTCTGACCATCACTATTCTCCCACTCACACCTCATGTCTTCAGTATCTGATGAGTCACCAAAAGGTGAGGTCACCTCCAGTGTGTACTAATATTCAAACTCTTTAAAGGACAACCATGCTCACAAATAACATCTTCTTTATTAGACTCCAACAAACATACTCTTTCTGGGTAGCAAAATAACCCACGAAAACACAGTTTATAGCTCTAGGATTTATTTTCCCTAATGATTGTCTGTTGTCCTTTACAAAACATGCACAACCAAAAAGCTTCAATGGGAGGTTCCCACTATTTTCTTCTTTCAACATCTGACAAAAAAAACTTCTAATCTAACACTCTCGAGGGCATT